CCCCAAAACCCCAAAACCCCAAAACCCCAAATTTCACCTAAATGGCCAAAAATTCATACCAAGATTACCTCCACGGTAACCTCAACCCTCACTCCACAGACCAGGTCAGCCCCGCCCAAAACCTAGCCCAGCCCCGAAGAGACCCCGTCCAAGAAGACCAAAGAGACCGCACAAGAGAGTCTGGCAGAAGAGATCACACAAGAAGGAAGAGAGACAGAGAGCAGCCCCGAAGAGATAGGAGGACCAGTGATAGAAGAGATAGAGACAGGAGGGATAGGAAGAGGAAGAGAGAGCATAAGAGGAGGGATAGGAGGAGTGATGGAAGGGAGAGGAAGAGAAGAAAGCATAGGAGAGATAGTAGGGAGGGAAGGGGGAGTAGAGAGAGGAGGGGTGATAGAGAGAGAAAAGGGGTGGAAATGGGTGTTGAAAGGGATGTAGAAATGGGTGAAGAAAGGGGTGAAGAAAGGGGTGAAGATAGGATGCAGGAAAGGAGTTGGGATAACAAGAACAGACAAGAAAGAAAGCAGAGAGAATTTAGCTCTGAACGAAATACTAATAAAAATGAAATCGAGCAAAGTTTAAGAGACCAATGAAATTCCTACTCTCAAGAAAAAGAAGACAAAAAATCCCCAAAACAAACTCCTGAACCCCTAAAAAAATCAACTCCCAAAAAACCCACAAATCCTGATCCCAAACCCCTCAAAATCTCTTCTCCCATTCCTTCCCTTCCAGACCTATCTAACTCCCCTAAACCCACCCCAACCGCCCCAAAAACCTCCACTCTCCCTCAAATCCCCCTCACAGCCCCAAATCCCCAAAACTTTGCCACTGCCGAGCCCAGTCCCACTCAAACCCTTCCTCTTAAGCCACCCCCAAGTGAGGCTCCACAACAAGAACACAAAGAAAGCCAAGACCAGAACATTAAAGAAGAAACGATTAAGAAAAGTGAGCTCAAGAAGGATTTGGTAGTGGAAATTCAACGTGAGCAACTCCTTGAGTCGGAGAAAAGGAAGGGAGAAAGTGGAGAGGAATGTTTGAGTGGGGTGGCTGGGAAAAGAAAAGAGAGAGACTTGGAAAGAGATGGGCTGCAAGGGGGAGATTGTGGGAATGAGGAAAATGAACATGAAAAGTTTGAGAATACTAACCTCCACTTCAAACGCTCCAGATGCTCCAGAGGCTCCAGATGCTCCAAACTCCCCTTCTTCAAACCCTTGCCAAAACAGCTCCCCCTTCCACTCCTCCCCACCATTCTCCACTGTAATAAGCCCATCCCAGCTCCCTCTTGACCAAATCGAGATCCCCTTCCTCGAACCAAAATCCCCTTGCAACTCAGGTTCCTCCCGGTCAATCTCCCCATCCCCTCGTCACCGCTACCACCGCTACAAAGACACCCTGACCCTAATCTCCTACCTCGAATCCGAACCAAAAGCTCCTCTCCACAAACTCCTTGGCTCAAAAGCCCCTTTCTCCAAGTACGACCCCCAAGTCGAAGCCAAGCTCAACACCATGAACAAGAACTTCACCAACCAAATCGGCCGAACAGAAGCTGAACTACGAAGACTTAAGAAAATTAGCGAAACTGAGCTGACTCAAAAGAGCTTAGAGGATTTAAGAAGGAAGGTAAAAAGGGTAAGCAAGAAAATTTGTGTGGAGAAAGTAGAGGAGGTCATCCAGTTGGTACAGGAACGGAAAAGTAATCAGTGGGTGAAGAGAGATAAGGAAAGGGAGCTTAAGGAGTTGGAAGGTCATGAGGATGAGTTGAGAATGAAGCTTAGGGGGGTTTATGTTGATATGGAGACAAGTGAGATGAGAAAGAGGATTTTTGAATTTGGATTGAAAATGGAAGGGGATAGAGGAGAGGTAGCGAAGGAATTGTTGAAGAAACAAGAAGATTGTTAGATTTTATACTCTAGGTTTTTTTAATTTTTGAAAAAGATAGGTTTAAGTTGAGTTTAGTTTATTTCTGTGAAGATGTTTACATTGTCTTGGTATTTGAATTTTGTGAGGTTTCTTTCTTCAGTAGCTAAAGATAACGAACTATTTTTACGAGTGAGATTGTATGGAAAAGAAGAAGGAAGTGAATTTTTATTCGGAATCTTCACTCTTGAATTCACTTGATCTACTTTATCAATTTTCTTCAACAATTTTGCTAAAGGTAAAATAATAATTACCCAATTTTTCTTGCTCAACATTAACATTCTTTTGTGACTTGATATATCTCAGAAGATCTCTGGTGTCATCAGAATAATCACTATTCCTAAAACTCAAACAATGTAAAATACTTGGTATTAAACTTAATCATGGTTTTCAAATTTTCATCATTTTTAGGCTGAATCCGATGACTCTTATTCTTCCTTTTCTTCTTATGCCTTAAGTTTAAGTCAAATTCGTACAATTTAGTCTTTACTCTGATGATGTTCTTCCGACCATCTTTATAGCGCATAGGTCGTGTTTCGATTAGTTTTAATACTTTCTTGGCTTTGTCATATCTTGAAAGTTTAAAGTTTAGGTCCGCTTTGACATTGCTGTTGTTGATGTTGCTAAATTCTCTGTAGCGATAAGAGTGATGTGCCCTACCTGACTGGTGAGCTGTTTCCTCGCTCGGAGTACCGTAACTCTGTAGAATATTACTGTAAAGACATACTTCTTTTTACACTTTGACTATGATAGCGAGGCTTTCTTGGCTTCTCCTAATAATCACTCTTTCAGTTTACCTCAGAATAATTACCTTCATATTCCTGACGAATAGAGGTGGGATGAAAATTATCAAAGCTCTTTGGATTTGAAACATTTTTGAGTAAAGTTACTTGTGGCTTGCAATCCGCAGATTCTGATACATCTACCTTGATCATACGAGCAAGAGTAAGCTTCTCATGAGACTTCATTCTAGATCTTTTCCTCAATTCCCTTTGACTGCCTATAGTTAGCTGTCATATCTTAAAATACTTCTGCTTGGTTCCTCAAGAATAATATCTCCTTGGTTTTTAATAGTAGGGAGGGCCTCTTGTTGATCTTCCTCTCTTGCAAAGTCTTCCTTCGCATCACTGGAAGAGACACTGCTCTTTCGATTATTAAAGCTTCTAAATTTATTAGAGTTGAAATGCTCCTCTCGAGATTTCATCGATGTGCTTTGAAGTTTACTTGACCCAAAATTAGAATACACTGTGTCCATGGATAACCCTTGGGATGTTTTCAGCTTATATCTCTATAAGTTATGATTTAGGAAATACGATGTTGGGCCTCTGAACTGAGCTGGATAAGACCTTTTCAGGAAACATATTTCCTAGCACTTCTCTTGGCTCAATAGTCGAAAAATTCTTGCAATTCTTGTATTGATTGTACCTTCCCTGCGAGATTTCCTCTGCAAGTCTTCTTTTAGGTAGCTTGTCAGATTCTAAAATTATTTCAAAGTGAGAATTACCTTTAACATTAGGGAATATGTGAGACTCTATAATAATAAACTGGGATATTTACTTTCTAAATTACCCTTTCTTGGCTTTGACCCGTCCAAAATTCCTGCTAATTCTCTTTGTTGCTTTTTCGATCCTTTCACAGGTGTCTTATTCACTACAAAATTCAGCTCAAACAATTCATAATCTCGAAATTCGAAATCCAACTATCCTTAAAATCTCTTTGTAAACATGTTCCTTACATCTAAATACTTTTCTGGCCAAAAAAGGTTGCGATTTTCTTCTTTAAATCCGCCAGCCTGGTATTTGTATCCTGTTTCTTCTTTAAAAATCTATTATACTTCTTGAAAGCTTTCTTTAGACTAAAATCGTTCATACTGTTTGAAAGTTATATTATTTCAAATAAACTTAGGAAGCAAGGGGTTTTGGGGTTTTGGGGTTTTGGGGTTTTGGGG